AAAAGCTACGAGTCTGTCGGTAGAAGAAACGAGAACTGTTCAAATTTTAACAAATGTTTTCGGCAAAAATAAAGAAAACGCTTGTTGAAAAACTTCTTGGTCGCAAACTCCCAAAAGAAACTCTTTGCACAAGTAACTGGAAAGAGGAGGAGAGACGTTGGGCTTCAAGTGCCAGTAAAGTACATTCAAGCGGGTATTCAAGGCATGAATTTAGTATAGAAACAAGTAATAATCCACAGCATGAGGGAACAAAGCTCGAGCTTTATCCTCTCTTGTCCACAGAAAGGAGTTTGTTCCCACTAACGATTGAAATCCGGAATCCAAGTTCTACCAAGATAGAATAGATCATAGTCTCTTGGTTCTACTGACAAAGACTTGAATCCAGTACCTGGAATCTGGAATTACTTACCTAATTTATTGTCTTTTCTTAGCTCTGGTGGAGTTGATAACTTACCGTTTTCAGTGACTGGTTTACTTTCTTTTTCAGCTTCATGATATCGGGCGTTATTATTTCCTTACCTACTTACTCACTTGGTTATTTACGATGCATGTTTTCAAGATTTGACTAAGACGCACATTGAATGGCTTCCTATTGTCAGGTTGTCCTGGTTGCCATGTAGGTGACGAGAACAAGAAGTTATATTGAACACTCTGGGTTGCCGTCTCAGTTGTAAAAAGAAAAGCATTATGCGAAAATCTTGCTTCGAGGAACAGACTCCTTTCTGTGGATTATTACTTGTTTCCAAATTAAATTCATGCTTTGAATACCGCTTGAATGAAGTTTCATGCGCCTATTTACATTTTCTTTCAGCTTTGTCGAAAACATTTGTTAAACATAAGAGTCCTCGTTTCTTCTACCGACAGACTCGTAGCTTTTTAAGCCCGAGTTCGCCTTTTTTAAAAAAAGGCTTTAAGTTGTTGTAACGTTTATAATCTGTAGTCTATGAAGTGTATTGCATATTTTTCAGTAAATGAACCCCTAAGCATTTTTGAGCAATTCATCGACAAGAAAAACGCAATGGTAACTTATGGTAACTTTTTTATCAGATACTGTTATGCATATTAAAGTATAACTGGGCCCGATAGAAAGAAAACAAAATAAACTTGCGGTGAACACAGAAGTTGGCCAGCTTTTTCTTTTAGGTCTTTTCTTGAGACATTATTTTGCTGACTCTAACATCCGTAACCTGTAAATTGGCTACCGTGTTTTTCCCTTTACATTGTGTTCATATCAGCCGTTTTCACTCAGACCTCGAACTCCAAATCGTTTTCGCCTGCCGCGACATTGGACCCGCGACCGCGACTTTGGACCCGCGACCGCGACATTGGACCCGCGACCGCGACTTTGGACCCGCGACCGCGACTTGGGACCCGGGACCCGCGACTATGAGTCAAACTCGGCGGGAGCTAAAGACTGTAGAATTAGTTTTGATTAGTTTTGCTCCTAGTCTCCACAGTATGCAGATTGCATGGTTTGCTGATAACGCAAACGTTGCTAGTATCGTTCATTCTGGTAGCAAGGTTCCTGAACTTCAGGATTTAGCTCTTCGCACATTTCATGTTTGTGTTAGTTTTGGAATTTCACTTGAGTTGAAGTGGATTCCTAGAAGTGTTAATTCTGAGGCTGACCGTTTTAGTAGGATTATTAATTGATTTTGATGATTATACTTTGAATGATGATGTTTTCCATATGTTGGATTTTCGATGGGGACCGCACACTATTGACAGATTCGCCTGCAGTTATAATGCGAAGCTTTCCCTTTTCAATTCCAGATTTTTTCAACCGGGCACTGAGGCTGTTGATGCTTTTTTACAAAACTGGCATTTTGAGAACAACTGGATTCTCCCTCCTGTTTCGCAGATTGCGAGGGTTATTGCTCATTTGAGAGTGTGTAAAGCGGAGGGGACACTTGTTATTCCTTTGTGGAAGTCTTCGTATTTTTGGCCGTTGCTATGTGATGATGGTAGACATTGGAACACATTTGTTCACGATTGGGTTGTACTTCCCAAATTTAAGCAACTTTTTGTGAGAGGCGAAGCCAAGAATGGCTTGTTTGGCGCAAGAGAGTTGTCCTTCATAGTTGTCGCTCTGCTCATTAGTTTCAAGTTACCTGAGAAGATTTCTCTATCAGGCTTTTGTACTCATTACTGTGGCTGTTGCCCCAAGTGTCGCTTACGTTAGGGTCTTTTGCACCCATTAGTTGGAGTCTGTTGTTACTCCTTGTCAAGCTTTGTCAGTTTGTTTTGTCATTATTTGTTAGCGTGTTGTTATAGTTCTTTGTGATATCTCCTTACTTAATAGAAGTGGTTTATTTTCTGTTTGTTGAATTGTCTTTACTCAATAAAGATGTTTTGTTACTTCTGATTTTTCTTTTGTTTTTTACGTCCCTTGTTTAGACGTTTTTCAAAAAGGCCTATGGCAAGAGGTTTTCAAGGATCCTGACTTACAGTCTCTTAGTGCCAGGCTTCAGACGACTATTTTGTCAGCGAGGGCTCCCGCGACAGTTAGCATGTATGACAGAGCGTTCAGGAGATGGAAGGAATTTGCATTAAGCAAGCACGAACTTTCTTATCTACCTGCTAATCTTATGCATGTAGCTGTTTATTTACAATATGTTTTAGAATCTACAAGATCGAGCAGTTCTGTGGACACTGCGTTTTACAGTATTAAGTGGGCACACGAATCAGCTGGTCTCGTATCCCCTACAGATAATCCTTTAGTTAATCAGGGGGTGCGGAAGGCGGCTAAAAGAATTTTAGGAGCTAAGAGGTGTCATAGGAAAGAACCTTTGTCTATTGAAATCATCAAAGATATTATCTCTGCCGCTGATTTGTCTAATACTCTTCAGCTGAGGAATATTTGTCTTTATTTCCTTTGTTATGCGGTTTTTTTTTAGATCGGAGGAGGTCACCAGTATTAGACGAAATCATATTACGTTTCATTATGGCTATATGACAATTAAGGTCGAAAAGAGTAAAACTGATCAGCTTAGGCAGGGCGATGAGGTTATTATCGCACAATCAGGTGGTAGTGCTTGTCCAGTTTCCATTCTTCGAGACTATTTAAGCAGGTTAAACATCGATCCTCATTCGGATGAGTTAATTTTCAGACAGTTGGTCAAAACCAAGTCATTCTATAAGTTGGTTAACAAAGATAAACCTATTAGTTACACTACTTTCAGGGATCATTTGTCGAAGAGTTTACGCTCTGTGGTACCTGATCCTTCTGTTTATGGCACTCATTCATTTTAGGTCAAGGGGAGCTACCAAGGCTGCCAACAGCGGCGTGGGCGAGCGAGTTTTTCAGAGGCACGGGCGGTGGAAGAGTGTTTCGGCCAAGGATGGCTATGTCAAAGACAATATCACTTCTAGGATTTCGGTCTCTAAGTCTTTAGGACTTTAGCTTCGAGCATCCATTTTTCAAGCCCTTTCTTTGTCTTCTATTAGATTACTTATTGTACTCTGGTGCTCGGCCAAAACACGCAAAATAAACCTAATGGTTCATTATGTGCTCTGTCTGTTGCGTAGTGAAGCTGAAATATGCAATTGTTCGCAGTGGTTTTCCAATTACTGCAATTACTTTTATTTCTTTTACGTACGTGAATGCAACAATTAAACTACTTGAAAATTGGATCGCCTTGAGCATGCCGCGGGTTGTTGAATCGACCACTGTTTACGAGGCACTAAAGAATTTCCGCGTACTAACTGACGTAAATATAAAAACGCTTCGGGCTAATATCTCGGCAAAAACCGCCAACCATGGTCCCTATTCCTAAAGGATAAAAAAAATAAGACCCTTTTTTCATTTCCTTGGAAAACAAACGTTTCTCAGCCTAATATGTAAAATGTAAAATTCCCATCATGAAACAGTAAGTAGCCCTTCGATCAGTGAAAAGTTGACTACAAGGGATTTGATCTTACCACAAAAGCTTTCACGCAGAAGACAAACAAAGATAACATAAAGAAAACACGTTTTAAACAAATAAATGTTTATTTTTATTTTATTATGCCTTTACAATGTTGTTTAAAGCGCTACCTAATTAAGGGCGCTTTCCATTGTCAGACTGACCGGCCACACCAGTCTCGTTGCAACGATAATTTCCCTTTTGATCAAAACTCTCCAGCTAGATCAGTCAAATCCTAAATAGTCTGCTCGAACGGGATGGTTTTTCAGCAGAAACCCTCGCAAAAAGCCTATTAGATTTTCAAACTGACTGGTCTGGCAAATGTCAGGCGGGCTAGCTCTGTCAAATGGAAAAGTTTCGTTAAATTTCGAATTCGGCCGCTTCCTCTGCTCGTGTAGTCACTTCGGCGGGCGAGAAGACCGCCTCTGTCCCCGAGTGACTTGCAGAGCGAATAAGGCAGCTGAAATCAATAATATATAGATTTAGCCAGGGCTAAAAGCGAAGCTCCTGTTAACTGGAATTTATAATTTAAATCAAACAAACTTGCAATTGTATTTTACAAATCAGTTAACTTTAGAGCACATTCATGTGACTTTTGAGGGAAAGGCTAAGTGATTTTAGAGAAAAATAATTTGCAAACAGTCCAAGCTAAGAGTGAACTTAATCTTATATCGAGTTGATAGCCTTATATGTACACCCAAAAAATAGCAATCATCTTCGATCACATTCAAGAGCCATAAAAATGGCTCTTGATCACAGTAGATTAGGCCTGGAAAACAAATTATCGGAAAACAAATCAGGCCCAATTTTTTGCGTTCGACAAGTTTACAATTTATTTTACAAAATCTTGCTAACAAGTCTGGAGACGTGTAAACCAACCTTTTATACTTTTTATACATCATACAGACCTCGGACAGATCACAATTTTGCAATACAAATTGTACTCATTCAACATTCAGGTCGATCGAAGTACGCGTGGGCTTTTACCGGAACCGTTAAAAAAATTTCTAAAATCACCTATACGGCTTGCCGGTTCTCACTTTTGACAAGCGCCAAAGTCTACTGTTTAAATCAAGGTCAATAGAGTTATACGCTTTAACATAATAAAAAATTTATTATGTTTAGTTGTTTATTTAACGGTTTTATAACTATGTGTAATCTTCAAAAGCGTTTGATACACGCGGCATTTTGACTACTCCTGCAAGCGATGTTCGTGAGCGACTGAAAACAAACGGCACAGCGATTAAAATTGCAAAAGAGACCACTAAAAATCAATAAAAGGGTAATAATTCGGTGAAACATATACAGAGACAACAATTTTAATTCACGAAGACAAGTAAAAGTGTCTCTGAAAATCCTTGTTTATGTTTTAAGCCGGCTTCCTGGCGTTTGCTTTTTTCAAAGATGAACTCGAGGCAAGAAAATCAAAGCTTTCTTTTACAGCCAGAATTATAACTAAATATTCTTTGGACCGTTTTCTTTCTATTTGCAGTGAGAAAATGTCTAAAGGCTTTTTAAAGTTCTATAAGCTTATAATCAAACCTGATACTCGGTCAGATTGTCTCAAATCTTACAAACGTGTATAAACTAAATAGCCGCATAAACTACGCCCGACTTCATTAAATTACATATAAAAAACAAACATCAAATACAATAATTACTCAGGCTTACCATTCGAGATGCTCTGAAAACTATCAAGTAAGGCCAGAATCGCTTCAAACTTTTCCACCCTCTTACGCGTCAAGCAAGGTGAAAAACGAAAACGATGCCATCCGAAATCCGATTTCCGACTTTGACAAGCGACGTATTTCTCAACCAAAAACCCAATAAACAAACTAGCTATGAATAACAGTAGACTCTTGATAGCAGCAGAATTTCATTTTGTACATTCAGCGGAGAAATACAGTTAAAAACATCCCATGTAGACACAAAACTCTGTCAGCTTCAGCTGTCAAAGTAAACAAGTTTCAAGATGCTGCATAAATTTTCCGCATGAACTTACCTGTCAAATTTTGACCAATCAGAGCATAAAAATTGGACGCAGAGCGTGACCAACGCGCGACCTTGGTGAGAAAAGTCAAAAGCAACTGGCATGTCTTCCCTGCCTGTAAAAACGGGCTGAATTTTAGCTTCCGAGGTCAGTTTGAAATCAAAATTTTAATTGTGCGACACATAAAACACAATATATTTCATATGAATAAAAAAAAAATTAAACTTGAGCCTGCGATCATTTGAAAACTAGTAACTTGTGAGCGGATAACTTCAAAAAGATACTCGACCTCGATGGGTCGAAACCTGAGCCCACGATACGGTCAGGTGATACTGGTCAGCGGATACCCTGTTTTGACAGCTGTCAATTGATCACAACAATGATGTACAATATGTGTGCAAATCAGTCTTCCTGTGCTACCAAACTAGTTAGAAAGTGTGAGATTGAACATTGGTTGTCCTGTGGTGCGCACGGACGGGAGGGCGGGCTGCGGGCGGTGTACGGTCACGTGATTACCAAATTTTCTCGGATGGGTAGATTTACTTACCCATGGTGCTCCGCAGGCGCGCTTCGCGCGCCAGAGCTCCGCTATAAACTTTAGTTTAGCGGGATATTCTAGAGAACGCCCAGAGCAGTTTACGTAGTGTATACAAAAATAAACGGTGATTTGATCGCACATTTTATCCAAAAAAGCGGCTGGAAGGGGTCCTGCTTATTTTCCACTCCATTTCTTTGGAGTGCAGTTCCAGAAATAGTAAAGATAATTCTTGATCCCCACGTATCCTGATTGGTACAGAACTCGATATGAAAGGAACCCATGACGCAGGCCTGGCACTGAAAAGAAAGAAATTCAGAGGGAAATAATTATTTTAAATCATAGTTCTACAGAGGATTTGAGAACTATTCTACCTTTTAAACCTTTAATTCTTAGATTAAAACGTAAGGTCCTACGTGTATGGTTTGGTTATCGACTTAATCAGTCGGTTTTCCGTTTCATTAATCAGGCAATCAATTTTTTAGTCAATCAATCAATCAATCAATCAATCAATTTTTAGTAAATTTATAAAAGAATTACCACAGAAAGATACCATTCTTCTCCAAAACAGACGGACGGAAAATAAACAAAATTAGCCACATTCACAGGAATGTGCAGCTACTAATTAAAATTCGAGGGAGGATACATTGAACAATATTATTAACACAAAAACTTTTGGTCAAAAGATTCTTGCAAAAGAGGACCAATGAAGGATATCTTATAACTAATATACGCTTACCATAGCAGCTACGTCGGAAACAGTATTTAATGTGAAATATTTTCAAGATGTTGTTTGTAGGAAAGCTAATAGTGAAACGAATGTCACGAAACCCACGAGTCACCCGGTGTTCTCCGAAATCTTCCTCGGCGTCTCGCTTTGTTGGTATCTTTGGGTCTTCTTCGGCGACTTTTTCTGGGTCTTCCTTCAGATAAGCGATGCTGTCGAGATTCGCGTCCCTCGCTAATGTTTCTTCACCTCTCAAGGTTTCCGCATCCGTCTCGCTTTCAGCTTTGGTGTACTTAACCAAACAGAGGGCCAAGACCAACACAACGATCTCGTACAAGCGCATCTCTGCCTGTCGAACAAACGAATATGTAAAAGACTCAAGAGCTTGTAAATTAAAATTAAAACTGCGAAGTATTCTTAGCGGAGCTACGTTAAAAAAATCCCTCTTGTAAAGTCAACAGCGCTTAGGCTGGTACCAAAACTGGGGATCCAAATAACAGTCTAACTAAATTTCCTCTTCACTTTTATGTAATACTGGCTATGGATACTGGGTTAAATCAGTGGAGTTGACGACAAATATGCAAGCCTTCTTTTTTTAAAATTCCAATAAAGGAATCGCAAAAAGTGGTCCTTTTTGCTCTTGAACTCGCGGACCCTCTTAAAATACCAAGTTAAGTTGTTTAGCTTCTCCAATTCAATATAGTTTTCAACCAGTAGAATGTAAAGGATATATAAAACTTAATCATAAGTCTAAACCAGTGAATTAAGCTATTCATAACCCGAGCTGACAGGAGAGATCTAAGGGAAAGAAAGAATTATAACGCTTTAAAACGAATCCTCACCTTGACTGATCAGACTGTGATGACGCTAAGGTTTCAAAGTGTTTTCTTTTGCTCACACGGTAGCAAAAGAAGAATAAGCGCGTTTGCCCTCCGATCTGAACAAAACAGCTTTTTTATACCATTGGTCACCACAAAAACGTGACTAGAACTTGAACCAATGTTGGTTATTTCAAGAACTCTGGTTTCTCTGGAAAAACAAAATTCTTTTGTATGTACTAACTCTTGTCAGTTTGGTTATCAAAATCACTTCTGAGGGGCCGGACTGTACAAGGCATCACGTAATTGAAGAAGGCTTACAGCCCGGGGGTAGGGTGCTTCTTTATATAAGCCATATAGGTATGTGCCGCCCCATCGGGTAGCGTTTTTGCGCCGTTTTGCTCTGAAAAAGGGTATACACTTTGCCCATTTTGGTCTGGAATCGGGTGGGGTTTTTAAGGGAACTACGGAGTGTACGAACGACTTTATCGTTTCAATTCCAAATTAGTAAGAAAGAAAGAGAAATATGCGAATTCGAAATGGATTTAATAATTTTTTTGTTTGCGCTCTAATCTACTAGTAGGTAATGATAACATAAGGGTCAGGTCTGAAAACGGGAATGGATTTTAGAGGTCTAGTCTGAAAACGGATGTGGAAAATAACAGTTTTTTAGTCTGAAATCGGGTCAGGATTTGAAGAACCGGGCGGCACACCTCCACCAAGAATTCCCAGTAGTACCCCCCGGGGGGCTTACAGTCCAGTACACACGGCCATTTTACAGTTGTGGGTTTGGTGCCCTAGCCTTTGAGAGAACGTGAGGCTGAGGTTGACCTTGTTTTGATACAAACCTCATTCCTTTTATAATGTAAATTTTGTTTACAAAATACTAGTTAGCATAAGAAAGACATGATTTACATAATAAAGCAGGAAGGGTTGTATCAAAACAAGGTCAACTCCAGCCTCGTTTTCACCTGCAACTTTAAAATGGGCCATTCAAAATCAACTAAACATGACGTTTCAATTTATCATTTGTCTCACAAACGTTTGTACGCGTACGAGCAATATAAAGGCTAAACCACGACAAAATGATCTCATTCAATAATGATTAGTTTTCATCACGGAAAATTGCAAGTCTGGAAAATTTCTGGGTCGTTTATGTGGACTGTTAAAAACCTTGAAACAATTAAACAAAATATACTTCCAGAAAGGTCACGCGTGATAAAACATCTAGAGTTTTTAAAGATCGTGATAAACATATAGAGCTTGCTGAGAAAATCAGAATTTTTAACGCGTGTTAAAGAAGCTCAACCACACACCAATGATTTTTAGAGTGATGCGTCGGCAGTTATTGAATGGCAAAGTGCAGTGGGGAAATAAAAACAATAGGTGGTTTTCATGCAATCTCGGGAGACACAAATAACAATGGTAAAATGAACAAATGCTGGTGGACAAACAAAGCGAGCTAAATGAGCGATCTTTTGTTTAGGAGTCCACCAGCATGGCGGCGATGACGTAAAGTGAAAACCACCTATACGTGTTCTATATATTTTAAAACCGTCCACCCCAAATATCTTCTACGCACGTAGGCTTGTCGGTCAGTTGATGTAATTTATTTCTGAAATTTTCCCGGCACTTATCAGAAGTTTGCAAAACCAGATTTCTAATAATTAACAAAGTCAGGGCGGTAGGTACTTGAACTATGATTAGCCTACAGATGCAGGGAGTGAACAAGGGAATGCAAAAATTATCTCGATCGATTAGTAGATTGTAGATTGTTCGCACGCTTTTGGTCTGTATACGAATCTGTATATCCATGATCGGATCACTATCCCCAGTTAGTTTTAGTCTCATTTTTACTTTGTAGTTGAAATTTGCAGGGACAGGGACAATAACTACATTCCCCCCCCCCCCCCATGCAAGTACACTTGAGCAGGAGTCTCTCCTTACATACTGAACAAAAGGCAAATCATGACGAGGTTAAGTCTTTAGCCATGTCAGTTGCGAACACCTCTTTATTACGCATACACTCTTTTTTTTTTAAGAATATATTTTATAAGAATCTCGAGGCTGAAATTTGCGAAATTTAGGAATATTTTAAGAATAAAGCCGAGGCTGAGATTAATTTTGAAAAGGATAGATATAATTTTGTGTGTTGAAACATCTGTAAGTACAGTACAATATTATGTTTTTAACTTAACCGTATAAAATTATTCCTTTCTCTGAACGGCGAGACTAGCCAACAAAACGAAAAAACCTGCACTAGCTATAGAAAAATGTTCAACACTAATGACAGTTCGATGAACGCTACATGTAATACATATGTACAGTATTCAGCACAAAAGACGTAAACTAAACCGCCAAAAAGTATTATGACAAATTCTTTCCTTTTTCAATAACAAAACCTAGCGAAAACAAAAACAGCACTAGACTTTATTTAAGAATAATACAAGAATATTTTCAGCCTAAAATCGGCAGAAAAATAAGAATATTCAGCCTGGGCCGGAAAAACAACGTTCTTATCAAAAAAAAAAGAGTGTACCCTGATGACAATGACAGCAGATAAATTCACGGCAGAAATATTACAGAAAAGTCAGCATAAAAAACACCAACTATTCTCTTGTGGCCGCTGTTAAGGTCACGCTTAACTAGGAAACCCGTGCAGTACTTATTTACAATTGAGTAAAGTTTGCTGACTGTACATGTCATTGTTTTCAGTGGTTTTCCAATTTCTTGTCAGTTTTCTTTTACGTACGTGAATGCAACTATTAAACTACTTGAAAATTGGACCGCCTTGAAACATGCCGCGGTTTGTTGAATCGACCACCGTTTAGAGGCACTAAAGGGACTGACGTAAATACAAAAACGCTTCGGGCTAATATCTCTGGCAAAAACCGCCAAACATGGTCCCCTTTCCTACAGGATAAAATATAAGACCCTTCCTTCATTTCTTTGGCAAACAAAAGTTTCCGGCTCAGCCGGAAACGGTTTGTCATGATCTTACCACAAAAGCTTTTAAGCAGAAGACAAACTAAGATAACATAAAGAGAAACACGTACTAAAGAAATAAATTGTCTCTATTTCTCACAGCGCTACCTAAGTCTCGTTCAATACTTCCTCTGCTCGTTTAGTCAATCGGGCGGGCGAGAAGACCGCCTCAGCTTCCCCGATTGACTTAGCGAGCGGAGTAGGCGGCTGAAATCCGGGCTAAACTTAAGTTTAGCTGGAGAGAATGCCCAGAGTAGTATACTTAGAGTATATAAAAATGAACGGTGATTTGATCGCACATTTTATCCAAAAAAGCGGTTGAAAGGGGTCCTGGTGCGAGTAGGCGAGGGCCTCAATCGAGTTGGTCGAGGCCACGGTATTGGTACCTGTCTTGGACTGCAGTCCCAGAAAAAGTAAAGCCAATTGTTGATCACCATGTCCCGGGGGGGTACTCGCAGAAAAATTGGGTAGGGGTCTGCGGCCCGCTTCCCAAAACCCTTACCCTATTTATGACCAAAATCTGCGATTTCCCCTACCCTATTTATGACCTAACCAAAAATTTGATACCCTATTTTGTGAAGGGCTTTTGTTGCTTGTATTTTCTAGCCTACAAAGCAGCCGGTGGAGAGGAAGGCAAAGCGCGGATGGAAGGAGGGGGACATGATAAGGAAGTAGCTTCTTCTAAAAAAGTGCATTCAAGACTACAGTGCAAAAATCGTTACCCTATTTATGACCAAAATGGCGGCAAAATAGCCAAAATCGATACCCAATTTATGACCAAAACGGCTGAAAAACCCTACTCTTTGGGGCCGCACATACCTATATAGCCCATATTAGGGAGTACCCCCCCAAGGCACCATGTATCCCGATTGGTACACAACTCGCCATGAAAGGAACCCTTGACGCAGGCCTGGTACTAAAAAGAAAGAAAAATTAGACAAAAATAATTTTTTAAAAATCATAGTTCTACAGAGGATATGAGAATTATTCTACCTTTTAAAGCCTTAATTCTTGGAGTAAAAACGTAAGTTCCTTGTGTTTGGTTTGGTTATCGGTTTAATCAGTCGATTTTCGGCTTAATCAAGCAATCAATCTAATATATAGATTTAGCCAGGGCTAAAAGCGAGGCTCCCATTAATAAATTTATAATTTAAATCAAACAATAAACTTGTATTCCATAATTCAGTTAACTTTAGGGCACATTCATGTGACTTTTGACGGAAAGGCTGAGTGATTTTAGAGGAAAATAATTTGCAAACAGCCCAAGATAGCCTCATATGTACACCCCAAAACAGCAATCATCTTCGATCACATTTAAGAGGCATAATGGCTCTTGATCACCGTCGATTAATTAGGCCTGGAAAAAAAATCAGGCCGAATTTTTTGCGTTCGACAAGTTTACTTTACAAAATCTTGCCAACAAATCTGGGTGCGTGTAAACCAACCTTTTATACAATTTAAACATCACATCTGAGGTCAAACAGTACTATGAGGCACTGTTTCTATCATTCAGACCTCGGACAGAATGCAGTATTTCACA